TAGGGGTATGTATGCGATCCATCCACCAGTCATCAAAGCACTTGAAGGTGCGATAATTCATAACGCCATCCCAAAAACCGTTCCATCATTGCTCCCGACCCATCGTTGGAGGTGATGTATTGTACACGAGCGCAGCGCCTTTAGTGGGTAGCAGCCTGCTTGTTTCCCTCAGCGGAGATGTCGTGCTTCTTCTCGTCCTTCTTGTCGCCGAGAGCGTCGACGCCGGCAGAGAGGCGCGAGCTGACGGGGGCGTTGCTGTCCTTAGCAACAGACTTGTTGGCCTCCTTGGAAGCAGAAGCGGTGGCGCCTGTAGCGAGAGAATGTCAGTCACTGAATCCAAGACAAGAGATGCCGATGGAGGGGAGCGAACATACCCTGAACCTTGTCAGAGACGTAGTTGGCGGTGTTCTTGATGGTATCCATTTTGATTGATGGTTTTGGTTGTGAGGTTTGAGGTGGTTTTTTGCTTGCGATTGCTTTCTTTGGTTGGGAGAAGAGTGCGAAGGTTGTTGTTGTGATGGAGGAGAGGAAGTTCTGGCGGGGGTTCAGAGGGTTTAAATAATGAAGAGTGAGGAGTGAATTGGCTGAACTGGCAGTAAATACGTCATAGAGCAAACTAGCGATTGGCTGTGAGGAAGGTGCCGTGGAGGACCACTGAGTGCGTCACCAGTTGAGTAGCTCCCGTCCTGGTTCAAAGCGGTCCAACGTTGGTTCGTAACTGCTTCCCCAAAAAATGCCCGTAGTGTACAGGGTGACGTCACTGGGCGGAGAGCTGAGCCAGTGGGGGGGCCCACGCGCATCACCACAATCGGCACGTGAAGCACTGAACGACACTACGTACGTGTAATGGAGGCGGACAAGGCAGTAAGGACCTACCTCTAGCTCCTGTCGGGGCCGTGTTCAACATTCTGAGACCGTGGAACTATGAAACGCTCGCACAAGGTGAGGTGAGGCAAGGTACACCTTTGTCGCTGAAGCTTGCCCGGTTTGGTATCATGCTTTTACAGTATGGACATGATGATAGGACACATAATGAATCATTACCCTGCTTGTAGCTGTATTAAAGAGCACCTCGGATAGGTACTTTGGGCACTCAGTGGTAGGTGCTTGGAAACAGTACACATAAACAACAAATGCTGAGGGGACTGGCCCTGCTCAAACGGAACATCGAGATCTGAAGCTTTCGCATCGAAAACGCCATGCGACCCCAGATTCCGCTCCCGCCTTAGGAACTCAGAACTAAACTCCTATTGGTTAGCTAGCCCAAGCTCCTGGCCCGCAGGGCATCTGCGCCACTGACGTCACCACTATTGTGGGGGCAGACTTCCATCATCCACCTTCTGTGCGCCACAACCAAGGCGATGCCGAGGGGCCACGCCTAAGGTAGTGTACATACGCGTATGACCCATCGCCAATGGTCATCTGAAGGAAGCCGCTTTAAGCCGTGGCAGCTTTGCTTGAGTCAGATTATGTAAGAGGTTGATAGATGTCATATGTGGCGGTGCTTGTTCAGAAGGGGGGCTTGTTTTTTGTTGGAGAACCCTGACGGTTCACTTCCAGGTTGTGTTGAGAGACATTTGAGAAGCATGTGAGCATCGTATCGATTGCGTGGCCGAAAACAACCGAGCTGCATACTGTCAGTGCATGCGCCATATGCAATGCAAGGAGGATTGCCAGGTGAGGGCTTCCCTGACTCCCGTCGCTTGCGGCAAGGGCGTTTGCAGCAACGCTTCACGCGCGGCCTCCTCCCTGCCAATTGGTGCAAGAAAGTGGCCTCAAGTTAGTGTCATTTGACCACAGCATCCTACCTGAGGCTTGACAGCCCAGCCCTGCCATATGCCTTCTCCTCGGATCGGTAGCACATGCTTGTACATTGGTTGTGCTGGTATGCTCGAATTGCCCGACGGGACCTCGGATTCAGCTGTGGTGAAACAACTGCGCGCCGTTTGCAGATGCGGCAGAGTGGACCACAGGAGTACGAGTTGCTTGGTAACTCTTCAAGCTGTTTGCCATGCACCGGATTACACGATTCTTCTAGCCTGGAGAGACTTAGCCTGGGAGGACAGGGGCTCTAGCTGCCTAGGAGGAGGAATCGTCCTCATCTATCATGATCTTGGCGGCCATCCGTTACGAGGAACAAGAGATCGGACAAAGTCTGTGATCGACCCGACGTGCTTCGAAGGGGATTTTATCAAAATCCTTGTTCTGTTTACTTAGTTTTAACAGTCAGCGAGCTTGTGTGCTAACACCATCCCTCTCTCCTGGCACCGTATCCTCCCTCGCGACTTGTCCACGCCAAAGATCCTGACGAAGAGCGTGTCTCAGAGACACCGTGACAAAGTGACCCCTGTAACCACCTTGCCATCCATAGGCTACCTAGGGGGGTACTGTCAGCCGGTGATACATCTGAAACTCTGTGCTAACGTAACTTGTCAGTCGACTTGACCGTGGTCCTCTCTGTTATCGTCGAGAGTGTGAACTATGCTCTCGTGCCCATCGGAATGGGGATCTCGTCTCTGTATGAGCCTGCTATAGAAGGAAACGTTTTCCTTGTATTTTCGCGTACTACCTTGCTTTTGGCGCTGAGCTCGTAGTTGCATCTTTGGGCAAGTAGATACGCTCGTGAACCCCCCGGGACATCAGCATTAGCAACGCCAGACACAATGCCGAGGTTATTGCAGCTGTCACTTCCTTTCGTACACCGGGCTGTATCCGCGGCGGCCGTCATTCTGTCTAGCCGAAAGATAAGCAATCTGTTGGACTTCTCTATAAAACGGTCTACTCCAGCTCAAGAGAATATACGCAAGAGTGCTGGAAGGATCTCGGAGGCCCGCTCCAACATGGAGAGATCGCGGCATTGTATATAGAGGAGTCATGTTACCTACCTATTCATGTGAAATACCGATCTTACCTGGTAGTGACACGTTCGAGCAGTGTAATATATTCCTTCCGCTTTCGGTAACCAGCCCCTATTCTGATTGATCGAGGAGGCCCAACTCACCATGCAAACGTCCTCTCAACAGGTTCTACATTACCCTAGCCCTACCTTCAGCATATCACGGTGCGACTGCTTGCCTCTTTGCTAAAGACGCAACCTTCAGGAGATTATTGAGATCTGTATCCGGTCCCTCTTTGCCTGTTCACGTATTAGGAGATCCCTTCTTGCGCGTTCCGGAATCCTCGACCGACGCAGTCCTCAGGTGGCAGCCTTAGGTCCAATGACCAAGTGCGTGGACTAAGGCATGATACCGCGCGCCGTTCCGTGAGCTATTGCTGCAATGGCGTAAGTGCTGCTCTGGCTGATTTCCATCAGAGAGGAACCGAGTGATTCTTGTAACTCTGCAGCATGTCTTCGGGTGTAAGCGCCACAGTATACTTCGTCAGATTGCCTCATCACCTGTCTATACAGACCTTGATATATGTGGATGTCAAACGTCAATGTTCGGCGAATCTGCGAAAGATTAGAGGCGCCTGTTAACAGCATAGATATTGACTTACAGTCCGTAGAAGACCCCTGCCAAAACGCTTGTTATTCTAGGAGCCAACTCACCGGCACTTCCATGGCACATCATATCTTGAAGCACAACACGCCCAAATTGTTCGGGTTCAACGTCATCCTATCAATAAATACGCAGATGTACTGGCCTTACGGAAGCACACGAGCCATCCTGCCAGACACGGTGAAAGACGACAAGATCTTCTCCCCCGTGGCGTCAGCGTTCGAATCATATGGAACATCACAGGTCGAGTTCGTTGTCCCTGAGGGACGCAATCCATCCACTAGCACAGTACACCTGTCCACAGACCGCACTATTACGTACGACGTGGGTGTCGCGGTGCTAGCTCCTATTTCAAGGGGATGCGCTTCAAGAAACTGTGATCACTCGAAGAAACATAATCCAAGCTATATGAGCGGGCTGCTCTTGTAAAGGTCGCAAAGTTGGGGTTTATCGGCTGTGGCGGCGCCATGGGGTAGAAGCAGCTGCTGAGTTGGGCAGGAATATGTTTTTAAATGGCAGAAAGAAGTTGTCCTCATCCTGACGATGGCCCTCCATGTCACCGAGGCTCAAGATGACGATGAGAGGGACGGCACTCAACGAGTTTAAGAACCTAAGCGTCAAAATCAGCAAACGTTTGCGTGACATCGAAGGGAGGGAATCAGGTGAGACGGAGAGCACAGTGCAGTTGACATCCCGGGATCGATCCATGAAGAATATCCAGGCATACCGGTGTTCGCAGCAAACAACGACTGTATGCTAGCAGTACTGCTGAGCAACAATGGGACCATCAAACGAAGCACACGCCTCCGTGTCGAGGGTGAAGGCAACATCTTCGTTGTTGGCGATGCCGGGTGTCTGCAAGGGCCACACGGCACCACGGCAGACGACCTGGCGATCTATGTCGTCAAGCATACCTCACAAGAGGGAAGACCGAGGAACAAAGCGGGCTGAGATGATCAAGTGCGGCTTGGCTCAGGGGAGCAAGGGGTGGACAGGGCAGTTTGGTGACACCAGGCTCCCGAGTCCGATGTTATAATGGGTAAAGGTTCATCATCACGGCGAAAACGTGGCTTTGACTTTATTACTGGCCGGCAGACCGTCCAACGGCCGTGGTAGCTGTGTTGTGTGTTTAGATGACGGGGATCGATCTGGCGAGGTGGTTGCTTTGTTTACTCCTAGCTAAAGGACCGCGTAGAGTAGGTTAGCAAGTCAGGTCACGTACCGGTAGGTAAGGTAGAAAACTTGAGCTTACTGCTAGACAAGACATTTGAAGCAAAGGAGCCTTGTAGCGGATGAGAGCATCAGATGTAGGCTCCATTAACGTTTCGTAGCTGTAGTCGCCGCAATGAGCTAGCTGCTGGAGGCCGGAGGCTCGCAAGATATGTACCGTGTTGCTCATAACCTGGGCAGAGCGTGGGAAAGTCATGATGAATAAGATCAGGTGGACAAAAAATCAATAATACCCAAAGTTTGAGAAGGTACTAGATTGGGCAAAAGAATTTCCCGATGAGGGAATCGAACCCTCGGCTCCGGAGGCATCAGGACAGACATCTGCTTGAGAATCCGAAATGTTAACCACTACACCAATCGGGAGACGGTTGTTGTTGTTGAATGAGATACCCAAATCTTCGTATATAACAGAGCTTTGAACGGGTAGGAAGGAAGGAGTGAGGGTGAGGTGAGACGTGCCTTCCTGCTTGGGCCGGTTTGCACCTAGACGGGCCAGCGCAGCATGTGGTTTTCCGCTCCAGCCCTAAGGTTGAAAGGCTGATGGATACAAACAGAATGGGTATGTTGAACACGCCGTATTGTACCGACTGACTTATGCCCGGACCCAAGGTTAACCATCATGGGACGTGGAAGAACGCTTCTGGGCCCAGAGCCGAGGTCACGTACATACATGGCATGACATACCTTATCCAGCAGTGCAAAAAGGATGCAACCCCTTGAAAGAAACAGCCAACTGTAGCAGGGCCACAATGATCTGAGCTGACCACCAGAAAACAGCTGCAGGAATTGGGCGCTCTACTGACCGCTCCTCACCGGGTGAAGCTCTCCTGACGCTCAACTACTCGTAAAGATAGACAACAGCCTTGGCAGATCTACCAACTAGAATAGATTCGAATGATCGAGAATGTTCCAAGGACCAGACAAGGCTTGAACAAACCATCATCTGACAGTCTGATCGACCGCGAGCTCAACTGATTATACTCAAAGTCGAGTCCAGCCATCCAACTTGACCACAACCGACCATCTAAGGGCTCAAGCAACAGACCCAGCACAACTCGACTGACCGCGAATAGAGCTGAGCGGGCCATCCAAAGTCGCGTCAACGTACAAGCCGATGTGATAAACCGGCGGTCCAGCTCGACCTCACCTGAGATCCGAATCCAACCAATATTAACTGACCACCTTGAAGAATTCCAAGCCATGGGGCTCAGTTGACCACCCGGGCAGGGCCAAACACCACTTAAGACGGACTCGTTTCGCGCAGGTCCCTTACCTGGTTTTGACTAATATCGAAAGTTATTTTAGAGGGTTGAACGGTTGCCTGGGAAGACTTGGCATCGGCGGGATATGAGCGGTGATGCCTGAAGCACGGATCAAGCGCTCCTTGCATGCCATGCAGTTCAGCATGCGGACTGAAGGACGAATGCACGCACATAAGGACCAATTTCCAGGCCCGTGAATAGACGAGCCGACTGACCACCGAGAGTCGTTGTACGGCCGTAGCCAGCGAGAGTTGCGAAACAAGACCATCGTGTGTAGAGAGAAGGACGTGATAGCTTAAGACATGCAACTTTGGAAACGACGCAGACGGTCACGGCAAGTAGAGATTAGATAACTTGGTGCGATCAGAAAGGGAGATGCGACGCGTTTCTGGGCAGACGCGTGAAGTGAAAGCAGGCAGACATGCCCAAGAGCATGGCTCGGACGCATATAAATTTGTTCGAAATAGGATGATGAAGGTAAACACTTGTCCAGCTGCAATCATTTTATCGCGCGTGCGAGTGAAGCCACTATGGCTAAGGTAGGTATGCTTGAGTCGAGCGGCACAGGCTCATATGTTTCGATAGCACTGCTCATCGATGTCGGTTGTTCATTCTCGAAACTTTGCCGAGTACGCGTCGAGCTCTGAAGCAGGCAAATACGCAGCGAGGTGTAGCTGTTGGAATTCTCGATCCTTCGGCAACTTTCGCACCCCAACGTCAACTGAAGACGAGCCATAACATCAGCAAAGCCCGGCGACAGACCCAACGACAGGCAGGCCCCCGCTCGGTGCTGCAGAAGCTGCCACCACTACTCCTTCGTCGCAACGCTCCACAAGGGACCGTTCACAATGAAAGAAAAAGAGATCTCTTGTCGAGACGAATGTGTACAAAAATTCCCCAAGCCGACGTATCGACGAGGGAGTAGTCTTGTTGTAGTTTTCAACTAGCAAAAACGTAATCTCGGACGAATCCTCACTGATATACGTACTGAATATCTCGTTAGCAATGATTCTAGCGGCGCGATGAAGAGAATGGTGAACGAGAAGGGTGACTTACAAGCCCGAGCACTTGGATGAGAAAAAAAAGAGAAAGGGAAAGAACGAAGGTGGGTGCGAGAGCAGAGTTCTTATAGTAATTTTTAGTGTGGTCCGTGCGCAGCTGCGCCACTGCAAATTTCAAGTGACCACCTCGGAGGGAGCAGTGGCAGCCTGTAGGAGCCCTTCACTTTCGAAGTTTTTTGCATCAAAAAAACATGAGTGAATCCCCCCCTGATCCAAGGCAAGCAACAATGTGTCACAAAACACAGTTAATGTTTCTTGCCCAATCAGAAATACCTGCTGTATTTCAAGAGAGCGCTCTCTGGTCAGCTTAATTAGAAGGTAGGTAGTCACATAGATGATCTCAAGCCAAGATTCTAATTCATGAGACTTCTCTATTACTCTATGAACAAACTAGTAAGAGTCGGTGACATCATGGCCTTCGTCGACTTTCCCTGATAAAGCAGAAAGCTGTTGGCTAACACGCAAAAAATCCTCCATCGGCAACATCCCCCAACTAAACGCCATTAAACGCCGTCTCAAGTCATGCTAAAAGACCTCAGTCCTATCTCTACCCAGAGTCTGCTCATAGGATCTCCTTGAGTTGCTGCTTCTGTGCGGCCGTCAAGCTCGTCGGGAACTTAACCTTGTACTTGACGACAAAGTCGCCTCGCGAGCCAGGTTTCTTCGAGATGGGCATTCCCAGTCCTGGAAACCGATCCTCACTTCCAGGCTGTGTCGGGGTGGACTTTCCGACCGAGATATTCTTGCCGTCAATGGTGGTGACCGTGCGATTCCAGCCGCACAGCGCCTCCTTGAGATCGAGTTCGACAGTGTGGATGAGGTCGTCGCCTTCCCGGACATACAAAGGATGGGGTTTCTGGTGACGTGTTAGTAACTGTTATATGCACTAATGTTTTGTTTTAAAAGGCGGGACGCAAGTGGACATACCTCTTCAACAATGAACACTAGGTCCTGCTGACCCCCTTCCTCCTGGTCACCGACACCCTTAAAGCGGATCTTGCTTCCCTTCTTCAGACCCGGCTTGATAGGGACCTCCAGCACAGTGTCTGTAGTCGTCCGCTTGCCCGACTCGTCAAACATCTTGCGCTTGATCTTCATCTTCTTCGTCACGCCGTGGAAGAGATCCTCCAACGCAAGCGGCAATGGTCTCTCGACAGTGGTGACCTCTGGGGTAGGCTGCCGCGCACTCCGGGTCGCATCAGGCCCGAACGAAGTGCGCATGCGCGGGCGGGCACCACCAGAGGTCCTAGCACCAGGACCCCCGCCAAACGAAGAGAATATGCCCTCAAAGTCGTCTGCGCCGCCGCCGCCGCCACCGCTCGACCGCATAAACTCGGAGAATATAGACTCGGGATTGCTGAAGTTAAAGCCACCCGGACCTCCGTTCGTGCTGAAGTGAAACGTGCGCGTGCCGCCGCCTCCGGGCACCCCTCCGAAGTCGAATCCGCTAAAGCCCGGGGGCACGCCGCCGGCAGCACCAGCGAACGGATTGGCGCCGCCGTCGGGAGGCGGAGCGGCGCCACCGCGTAATATGTATTCGAGGCCGAACTGATCGTAGACCTTGCGCTTCTCCGGGTCCGAGAGGATTTCGTATGCTTGCGAGCACTCCTTGAACTTCTCCAGCGCATCCGGGTTATCCTTGTTCTTGTCGGGATGATACTTCAAGGCGGCTTTTCTAGTCACAGGGGGTTAGTATCGTGGCACTGAGTTGTTTGTGGCAATTGGCCACTAGCGACATGGAAAGCTTACCGATATGCCTTCTTGATCTCATCCTGCGAAGCATCAGGCTTGATGCTCAGCTGATCGTAGAGCTTTGTTTCCGCCACCATGTTGTGTATTGTGATTGTTGTTGTGCTGCTTCGAAAGATGTAACGGAGAGGAGCTGATTAGGTGGGTAGTTGGGAATGTAGAGAGGTGAACCCGCAGCTCTTCTTGTCTTATAGTCTTGCTGACGGTGTAATGTGCACTCGGGCAATGCACTGTATTTAACAAAGGGCGATGTTGAGAGAGGCTATAGTCGTTCAATGGAATCGTGAAAGGTTCAGGTTCGAAAGAGAGGTTCGATGGGGTATTGTTGGTTGTCGAGGCTTTTGGACGAGTGAACTCGCGAGGGCGCGGTCAAATGGTTGTATCTGGCGGGCCTGACTGGTGATCGTGTGCTTGGGCCAGTGGTTGTAGAAGGTTCGATCAGCTGGGATTCGGAAATAGTGACGCACCAGTGTGGGACCATAACCCGGTTCTACTGTGTACTGTGGTAGCTCAACTCGACAGGTCTAAAGGTATCGGAACTTTCTGGCTTTAAGATCTAGAAGAAATCCTCAAGAAGCCTCTAGCTAATTCTAGTCCTTCAAACCACGAATTCTCCTCGTATCTTTGGCCATTTTCCTTCATAGGAACTCGAGTCTCTTGACATGGCCAGTGATCAGCAGGTGGTGAGATGGAGACAATGACGCCAGTTTCGCGGGGTAGTTGTGGCGGGACGTCGTGGCTTGTCGCTACTTGTGGCTTGACCCTGTAGTTGTGCTCAGACCATCACTGGGATGAGGGCAACAAGTCGGCTTCAAGGCTTTGCCGGACAACACCAACTTCGATAAAAGCAGCAAGCTCGTTTACCGACACCCATATACACAGTACACCCCGCCAAGGAGGCTCAACGACAACGCTCCTATCAATATATATGTGACAGGGTTGGCTGGGCCATGAGTCGAGCAAGAAGGGTGAAGCAAGACTTCCTTCCGGCCTGTGCCTGAGTGATATCGGCAAGGCAAGGACATTCACAGCGAGCTCAAATCATCTTCCAGCTCCGGCACTTTAAACCTAGCAGTAAACAATTCGCATAGGGTCCCGAACTCGAACTCTTTGACCATTAAGACCGGCAACAAACCACTGCAGATGACTCATCTCTTCCTGATGGCCTTCTGAAACACGAAACGGTCATGGAATATTCGGACATGGTTCTTTGCATCAGGGACACGCGGCTCGAGATGGTCCTCATGCGCTTCAAGTACCGACTGAGCCCTGGCCTGATCTGAGTCAAGAT